CTCCCTCCATCCCAGGGTCCATCCTCTTGCATCCCCCCCCCATAGCTCCCTCCATCCTGGGGTCCATCCTCTTGCATCCCCCCTGCTGTCCCCTGCATCCCAGGGATCTGCCCCCCTCCATCCCCTCTGCTGCTCCCTGCATCCCAGGGGTCAGCTCCTGCACCCACCCCTATGCCCTCCTCTATCCCCCCTGCTCCCTGCTCTGTCCCGGGGGGGGCTGCCTGCACCTGCACCCCCGGCTCTGGGGATGCTGCTGAGGCGCTGGGGATGCTCGGCCGGAGTGCGGGATGCAGCTCCGGGCAGGCGGGATGGGAAGAGCCACTCGTGGGGCTAGAGGGTGGCTGGTGGTCGGCAGGGGTGTCCGTGCCCACCCCTGTCCAGAGAATCCATGCGGAGCCACCTCGGCTCCGCCGCGGAGCTCGCTCACACGCGTGCATCCGTCTCAAGTGCGTGGGGTCCTGCCCGTGATGCCGGGGGGCTCTGGGCTGCAAAAACCCCCAAACGCCAGGACGAGGAGGGTGAGCGGCACCCAACAGCTCTGCCCTCACACGCAAGGCACCCATCGCTCCCAATCCAGCCGCGATGGGCAAGGATGGGGCAGCGGGAGCACCCCGACCCGCTCTGCCCATGGGCTCCACATCCTGGCTCCGTGCGGGCATCCAGAGGGCATCCGCCTTTGTTCCCTTCCCGCCTCCTTCCTCCTCCGTAGGCCTGAGCTCTGCCGCCTGCGCCAGGCTCTTGGTTTAACCTTCACGAGCGGAGAATTAAAAATAAAAGGGAGGAAAACGCTGCTCTGGGGCCAGGGCCAGGGCCAAACTTGCCCCGGGAGGGTTTGCTGAGCTCTACGGCTTCCATCCTCCTTCCAACGTGATCCGGTCCTGCCAGGGCCAGTGGGTCTCCGGGCACAGCTCGGGCCGCGTGTGCTCCATAGGAAGTTACGGCTACGGCTCTGCATTCCGCAAGCCTTGAGGTCCCCGGGAGAGGGTCAGGGTCCTGGGGCTGCATTTGAGCAGGCAGGAGTGCGGAAACGGGTGGCAGGGATGGAGGGACGGACCACAAGGCGACAAAACCCAGGCGAGTCCATCCAAGGGCTGTGCCACACAGGGACGGATGCTCCATCCAGGGCATCCTTGACCGGATCTGATCTTATTTCCCCCATTCTTACCTTCTTTGGGGATTAAAAGGGCAGCCGACTCCCGGGAATGCCACTATGGTTCCCTCTCCCTGCCTGCGGGCACGTCTCTCACCCTGTTTGGTGCTAAATGTCCCTTTCCCTTGGGGACATCAGGAGCCTGGGGAAGCAGCAGCTCCGTTTGTTCTTTGGGAAGCCGCTCTGCCAAGCACAGCCCGATGTTTCCTGGAGCAGGGAATCATTCCCTGCTCCATGGGCTCCAGCCAGCCAGCTGGAAGCTCCTGCAACCCCTTTGTGCACCCTGCCCCATGCCCAGCACCTGCGGTGGCTGCTGACAGCCTGTCCCCTCCGCTGCCCTGGAGTGGGACCCCAAATGGTGCTGCCACCTCTTTGGCAGGGGTTGGCGGCTGCACCGTGCCGCACTGCACATGCACTTTCACCGTGGCACCGTGTCCCACTGCACCGTGTCCCACTGCACCATGTCCCACGGCACCGTGCCCCATTGCACTGTGACCCATTGCATTATGCCCTGCTGCTCCAGGCCCCACTGCTCCATGCCCTACTGCACTGTGCCCCATTGCAGCATGTCCCACTGCTCCATGCCCCATTGCACTATGCCCTGCTGCTTTGTGCCCTGTTGTGCCCCATTTCTCCGTGCCCCACTGCACCATGTGCTGCTGCACTTTGCCCCTCGGCTCCATGCCCTATTGCACCGTGCCCCACTGCCCTATGCCCTGCTGCTTTGTGCGTCGTTGCTCGTTGCCCCATTTCTCCATGCCCCATAGCACCATGCCCTGCTGCACATTGCCCCATAGTACCGTGTCCTGCTGCACATTGCCCCATAGCACCGTGCCCCATTGCTCCGTGGCCCGGCCTCCCCGGCAGTGCGGGCACTGCTCGGCTCCCGCGCTCCCTCCTCTACTCCTCCAGCCCCT